CACAGCAACCTCCAACTCCTGGGCTCAAGTGAGTCTCCTGCCTCAGCCTCCCAAGTAGCTGGGACCACAAGTACCCGCCACAATGCCTGGCTATTTTTTGGTTGCAGTCGTCATTGTTGTTTGGCGGGCCCGGGTTGGATTCAAACCTGCCACCTCAGGTGTATGTGGCTGGCACCTTAGCCACTTCAGCCACAGGCGCCAAGCCTAAATAGATTTTTTTTTTTTAAGTATATGCTGCCTAGAAGAGATTCACTCTACCTTTAAAGACACAAATAGGAAAAAAAAAAAAAAAAAAAAAAACGCAAATTGGCTTAAAGTGTAAGTATGAGAAAAGGTATTCCATGCAAATGGAAACCATGGAGAGTGAGACAGCTATATGAATAAGAGAGAAAATAGACTTTCTCAAGTCAAAAACAGTCATAGGAGATAAAGAAGGCCATTATATAATTATAAAGGGATAGAATCATCAAGAGAATGTAATAATTACACCCAAATATATAAATATTATCAGAACTGAAGGGAAAAATATATAGCAATACAATAATAGTAGGGAGCATCAATACTTACCTTCAGCAATAGATAGGACATTCAGTCTGAAAATCAATAATGAAACTACAGATAATTGAACAGCACTATAGAACAAACAGACATAACAGATACATACAGAATCTTGTACACTCAAGGGCAGCAGAATCTAGACTCTTGTCAAGAGCATACCAAGCATTCTACAGAATAAATCATTATGTATAGCCCACAAAATAAGTCTTACAAATACACAATTCAAATGATATCATGTATAATTTCCAGGCACAGTGGTATGAAACTAGAAAGAAATAAGGAGAGAAATTTTAGAAAATTAACAAGTTTGTAGAAATTAAAAAGCATGCTCTTGAACAACAGTTGAAAGAAGAAATCAAAATGAAAACAAAACAATGATTTAAGCAAGGGTGTACATAATAAAGGCTATATATCAAAAGCCTAGAACTCATATCATATTCAACAGTGGAAGGCTGAAAGCATTTACTCAATAATCAGAAACAAGACAAGGAATCCCACCCTAACCATTTCTATTCAACACAGTAATAGAAATCCTTGCCATAGAAATTAAGCAAGAAAAGAAATAAAAGTATTAAACTCCCTAAAGAAGAAGTTAAATTGTCTTTGTTTGCAGATGACATGATTGCATGTACAGCAAACCCTAAAGATGCCATCAGAAAACTATGGGAACTAATCAATAAATTCAGTAAAGATGCAGGATGCAAAAAAATCACATACAAATATCAGCATTTCTATACCCTACCAACAAGCTATCTGAAAATAAAACTTTAAATAAATCATTTACAATAGCTACAAAATATAAAATACTTAGGAATAAATTTAACCAAAAAGGTTAAAGATCTGTACACTGAAAAATATGAAACAATGATGAAAAAATTGAAGACATAGAAAAATATATCCATGTTTATGAATTATAAGAATTTTGCTAAAGTGGCCACACTTAGCCAAAGCAATCAACAAACTCAGTGCAATCCCTATCAAAATATTGATGGAATTTTTCACAGAAACAGAAAAAAAATCCTAAAATTTGAAAGGAACCACAAAGACTTCAGTCAAGCAATCTTTGTCTTCCATTTCAGAGAGCCTTTCTTCTGCCTGGGCTTGAATTTCCAATCGGGATTAATATGCTAATCTCCAAACTAGTTCCCCACCTTATTGTTTATTCCATAAATATCACTAACCCATCTTCATACCACTCTCCAATCCAGTCTCACCCTACCAATTTTAATTGCCGAGTTGCAGAAAATACTGGGGGGGGGGGGGGGGGGGGGCGGGGGGACCTGCAGAAGAATATGGCAATATGAATAATCACAGTAGATCAACGCCCCTGAGGAATGACAAAAGATACATCAGAAGATGCCATTCATAGACAAATGACTGAATTGTCAGAAATAGAATTCAGAATATGGATGGCAAATAGATGAAGAGAATGGAGGAAAAGATGGAATTAGAAATCCAAAGAGTAGTTCAAAAGTTGTCTCCAGAAATTGATGAATTCAAAGACAGAATTACCAGGGATACAGACATAATGAGAAGAGATGGAGCAGAGCTCAAGGAAATGAAAAAGTCATTTGAAGAGCTTCAAAATACAGTAGAGTTCCTCAGTAATAGAAGTGAGCAAGCAGAAGAAAGGATTTTGAAGGAGCACAAAGCTGGATACATCATATTACCTAATTTGAAAATCTATTACAAAGATATAATAATAAATGCAGCATAGTATTGGCATAAAAATAAAAATGCAGGCCAATGGAACAGAATACAGGCTGGAAATAAATCTACACATTTATAGTCAACTCATTTTTGACAAAGATGCTAAGAACACACAGTGGGGGGCCACTGGTGTGCTTACAACTAATAGGCACAATGTAAGGGTATATGGTATACAAATACCACTTGGACTCTGCCAAACGAACACAAACAATGTCACCTAATCGTCTGTATCCTCATATTAAGATACAGGGAGGGAGGAGAATACACAATAGAATAAATGGTGTTGGGGAAAAAATTGGATATCCACACACAGAAGGATGAAATTGGACTCTTTATTTTACATACAAATCAAATCAAAATGGACTAAAGACCTGAATGTTAAGACCTGAAACTCTAAAAGTACTCAGGGTGGGTCTTGTGGCATACTGAGGGTAGCAGATTCAAACCTGGCCTCAGCCAAACTGCAACAAAAAAAATAGCCAGGGGTTGTGGCAGGCACCTGTAGTCCCTGCTACTCAAGAGACTGAGACAAGAGAATCATCTAAGCCCAAGAGCTGGAGGTTGCTGTGAGCTGTGACACCACAATACTCTAACAAGGGCAATAAACTAAGACTCTGTCTCAAAAAAAAAAAAAAAAAAGTACTCAAAGAATGCCTGGGAGAAAAACTTCCTGACACTAGCCCAGGGAATACATTTTTTAATATGTCCCCCAAATTAAAGGCAACAAACATAAAAATAGACAAACTGAGTTAAATGAAAAGACTTCTGCACAGCAAAAGATGTAATCACCAGAATAAGAGAAAACCTATGGAATGAAAGAAAATATTTGTAAACCATACAACATAAGCGTTTAATATGCAAAATACATAAAGAACTTAGACAAATGAAGAGCAAAAAATCAAACAGCTGCATTTTAAAATGGGCTAATGGCCTGGATAAATATTCCTCACAAAACCATAAATAAATGACCAAAACAGGCATATGAAAAAATGCTCAACATTACTACTAATAAGGGAAATACAAACACAATGAGATATCACTTCACACCTGTTAGAATGGTTATTATCAAAAAGACAGAAACTGGGTTGGGCAAGGTGGCTCACACCTGTAATCCTCGCTCTTTGGGAGGCCAAGGCTGGTGGGCTACTCGACCTTAGGAGTTTGAAACCAGTCTGAGCAGTAGCGAGACTCCATCTCTACTAGAAGTAGAAAAATTAGCTGGGTGTTGTGGTGGGCACCACAGTCCCACCTACCTGGAGGCTGAGGCAAGAGAATCACTTGAGCCCAAGAGTTTGAGATTGTTGTGAGCTCTAATGCCAACGCACTCTATCCAGGGTTACAAGAGTGAGACTCTGTCTCAAAAAAAAAAGAAAGAAAGAAAGAAAAAGAGCAAAAAAGGATGAGATGATGAGTGTAGATGAAGCTGCAAAGAAAAGAAAAAAAACACTTTTAGACTATTAAAGGAAATGTAAACAGTAAAGAAGTTCCTCAAAAAATTAAAAACCACTACCTTGTGAGCCAATAATCCCACTTCTGTGTAGACATCTAAAGTATATGAAATCAGGATGTCGATGAGATGTCTACACTCTCATATTTATCTCTGTATTATTTAAAAGAGTCAAGATATGACACCAACCTAATTATCCATTACGGAATGAATAAAGAAAATATAGTATATACTCATACATAAGGGAGCACTATTTAGCCTTTAAAAAAAAAATTGTCTTTTACAAAAACATGGACAAACCTTGAGGACATTACGTTAAGTGAAACAAGCCAAGCACAGGAAGACAAATATCTCATGATTTCACTTATATGTATAATCTAAAAACATGAAATTCACAGAAGCACAGAGTAGAGCAGTGGTTCCCAAAGGCTGGGGGGAGGGTAGGACTAACGAGATGTTGGTCATAGGATATAAAATTTCTATTAGAAAGGAAATCAAGAGATCTATTGTATATCATGGTGAATAGGTGAATACAGTTAATAATATATTTTATACTTAAAAGTTGTTACATGAGTATAGAAGATTTTTACTGTGTTTTCACAATAAACAAAATATATTAGTGCATATGGTAATTAGTTCAACTTTGCCACTTTATAATGTATGCATATCTAAACATCATGTTGTATACCATAAATATATATAATTCTTGTCAAATAAAATATTAGTTTTTTAATATGCACAAAGGTGTCTATGTTAAGGAAGGGTGTCTACTCACAAAAAAGGAAAAGTTATTGCACAAAGAAAAATAAGATCTACTATATTTTAATTCCATGTCACCTATCTCTTTCAGGCATATATAAACAATTCCCTAGGACACAAACTGATTTATTTTTGCTTGGGAAAACGTATTTGGCTAATTCTTGAAAGAGAAAGAGAATACCTTTTCATCAGTTAAGGTTTATAACTATAAATAGAGGTGATTAAACTGAGGCCCTCACTCAGTATTAATAAGAACCACAAATACAAAAATAAATTATTTACTATTTTACATAGTAAAGAATGACTTGGATTTAACTGTAGTTTAGTTATAGTATACAACATATTTTGTTCAGTAAGTTTCTTTATTCTTCAAAATATGTATTTCCTATAATATCTTTTCAAGGCAAAATATAGCCATACACTTATAAATATGCTATAAACTTAAGTAAAGAAAGAATATCAAAATAATCTTCATAAGTCACTGAATTATCCCATTGAGGTGAAAATATAAGAATTCAATTATTAAAAATACTTTGATCTAGGAAGAAAAACAGATATGTTTCAGAAATGGCAAATAAGTGTATCCGCGAAGTTCAAGTGCAATTTAAAATAGTCTATACCCTATACAAAAGTAGGAAAACATGGAACTATGACAGATAAAGTGACATATACTGTATGTAGTTCAAGGATGCACTTGATAGAATTCAATCTGTTTAATGTACTAGAAAGAGAATGTATTTGAAATTCAGTTGCCCGTTCCAACCAAAAAAATTTGTAGAATCAAAACACCTGTTTACATATTCTTTTATTAAAATTTATTTTAAAATTGAATACAAAATAAAGAAGCAATCAAATACAAAAATACAACAAGTAATAAAAATAACTGAATAAACATATATTTTCTCCCTTTCTTCTCTGGAACTAATAAGTAGTATATCATATTGATGATTCAGTAGACGGAACTGTTCCCATTAAATCAAAACAGATCTGATAATATGGTTTGAAATGCCATTAACAGGAAGCAGGCATACAGACCAAAAATACTAATGTGCTTTTTTTTTTTTTGAGACAGAATCTTATTATCACCCTCAGTAGAGTGTCATGGCATCACAGCTCAAAGCAACCTCAAATTCTTGGGCTCAAGCAATTCTCTTGCCTCAGCCTCCCAAGTAACTAGGACTACAGGCGCCTACCACAACGCCCTGGTATTTTTTTGTTGTTGTAGTTGTCACTATTGCTTTTAGCAAGCCAGGGCCGAGCTCCAACCCGCCAGCCCCAGTGCAGGTGGCTGGCACCCTAACCATTGAGCTTCGGAGCCTACTAACATGCTTTTACCAAAAATATAAAACAATACTCTAACATGTATACAAATGTGATAAATCAATCAAATCTTAAATACAGTGAATGATTATTTACAAAACATTCATTTATTTCTTTCCCATTATAGCTTCACTAGAATGCTATAAATTTTCTTTTGAAAATATTAATGATCTACTAATACCTCCAATGAAGTCAACTGATACTCTTCTAATTGAAGTGTAAAGTAACAGAACTTCCCATTTCTTTTAATAATGCTTTTTTAAAACAGAAAAGTATTAGAGAATGTTTTCAAAATACTAAAAATAGGCTGCCATCATTCAGTTTTGAATGTGCAGTTATAAATATTTCCTTCTTAACCATCACTTGCTGCACTATTCATGTACTGACTGGCATAGTTAACCTAACTTTCTGAGTTAGCTACCCTAATTAAGCTCCATAATGGCAGGGAATATATCATATCCTTTATGATAGATCTCACAGCACATATAATAGCCTCAAAAAAAAAAAAAACCTACTTTTTAAAGGCACAAAATAAATTTATCACTAAACATAATATTCAATGACAAAATATATTCTATAATAATTTACTGAGTGATGCATACATCAGTAAACAAAAGCAACAAATGTAATACCAGTAAAACCTATAACCAGACTACTAAGTTAAACTGCAGATTTTGGTAAAAGTTAAAATATTTATTTGACCTGAAGAGAAACAAGAATGACCTGCAGATTGTATATGTCAGTTCCAGAGGTATGAGATTATTCCTAAAGAAAATAATTCACTAACTTAAACCAGATTATATTAAATGCCATGAGAGATCTCAGTGGCTATCTTCATTTATTCATCATTCAAAGGATTTACTAAGAAGTACAATATACTTTAGGCCTTTAAGCATCTCAGATCCAAATAAATCCCTAAGTATTTTAAAGGGCATCAAGGCAATCCTAGAACTATCAGTTCTGTATCCTAACCCCTCTCTCATTTCTTTGCTTTATATCTGGACAGAATAATCAGACCACTGGAAAATTTCCGATGAAAACAATTCAGTATTTAAAAACTTATATACTTATCTTTTAGGGCTTAGCATTAGTCACCCTTCCGAACCAAGTACTGACACAGAGACACTACTACCAAAGTTACTCCACCAATCATTCCAAGTCCCACAGATTGCTAAACAGACCAAGATAGATACCATGTTGCTCTGAAATCTCAGCTATCTCTAACCTGTATGCTCAAGATTCCAGGAACAGATTTTCCTTTGGTACCTGCTTCTCTATTTCAAACCAGTACTCTGTCTGAGAACCAGAACCCATGCCCTAGAAATCTGGTTAAGTGGCAGAATTCTGCTACAAGA